CATTTACTTAGGGACTTTCTGTTTGGAATTTTGCTCGGAGTTCTGTATTTTTATTATTTTACTTTTGTCAAGTGCATAATCTCTCAAACATTTTTAGATATTTACAACTTACACCTCCCATGAATGTACGAAAGCACACCAGGACACCACAAGCGAAATATAAACTGCGCGTCACATGAACGGATCAACGAGAAAACAAATCATCACACGTAAATTTCTAAAAATAAAATAGATTTGTTTTCTTTATAGACACGTACAAAAATATCAAATTGGGATTGAGTTTGTAATGGTGTTTTTTTATGTAATTTCTAACCATAACAAGAATTTAAAAAAAGAATTGAGTATCATATGTATTTTCTAACCATGTTGGTTTTTCTTCTAATTCAAAATTGTGAATAAACAATTAAAACCTGTTCATATAGTTGCTTTTAACTTAAAATCATATAAATGAAGTATCTGATTTTTTTATCTTAACTTTTACATACATATAAATCATAAAAATAATTCGATCATACTGACAAATAAGACAAAGGTGAAATGAACCAAAAATACAGAATGCAAACCACAAACGAAATAAAGAGACAACAACTCAGCACAAAATGACCCACCGCACCCACATGTAAAAGAAAGTATCAACAAAATGCTCGAAAACAGGATATATGAATACTGAACCACGTCGTCTGCAACAGCAAACATAAGACATAACAAAATATCTAACAGGACTGCCAAAAGAAACATCATAACTAGATACATGAATATATACCGAGACACGTCGTATAGCAATGCCAATTCAAACTCGGCAAAACAGTCATATTTGGGAATAGGTCACGTCGGTACTTAGCAGAACAGACGACGTAGATGGTACATCTAAGTCGTTAGTTAGTTTAGAAACAGACATATCGTAAAGATCAGCCAATTTGTGATGGTATCCATAAAATTTATGGAGTGTCATTTTTAATCTTTCCTCCTCATAACTCTGTTGGAGCAGTTTCTGTGTAAGGAGCACACTCCTGTATATGAAGTCCGTATAGTGTGAACATACACGGGCATAACGTATCAATTGAGATATGTATACACCATATGACGGGGCAGCGGGTATGTAACTGCTGAGAAATGGGAAATTTATATATGGGAAGTTGAAGTCATCCCGTTTGTCATAGATGTTAGTCTGAAGTCGGTCATCTTTGTCAATATTGAGGAAAAGATCAATGTTTGAAACAGTCCTTCTAGTATCAGTAGTATCCTTAACTTCAAATTCACTGGGATATATGAGATGCAAGTACTGACTGAAATATTGGTTATTCAGTAATAGGACATCATCAATATATATCTGAAAGAAATTTTAAAGAATTTCGCAAGATGCTTTTTCTTTTTGTCTTTTAGAAGGTTCCGAATGAATTCTGCTTCATATTAGTACAAAAACAAATCGGCCAAAATGGGGTGCACATGTAGTACCCAATGGAATACCGACTGTCGGTTGAATATCAATCCTCCAAACCCATTACCAATGAAATACAAACAACCAAACAACTACAAAATATTATGTATGAGTAAAATTTTTTTTTACTTACTATTTAATTTTATTGCATACTTAGTATTATCAAACAACAAAAAACTTTTAAGACAAATTACCGAGCACATGAATAATGGGTTTTGTTTTGTAATGACTTAAGCAGCTCGAATATCAGATCGACCTTGCGGGATCGCTTGATTTCCTTGCCGATAAAGTCAGTATTAAAAACAAACAAAACACTATTCTATATTTAGTGGACAATGTCCACGTACATGTACTGTAAATATAATAGACAGTTGTATTTACTAGTCCGTCCCGAGTCTACAAACGTTTGGCTACCACCTATTGGTATTTAAAAACCTTAGTTTGCGACGGTTAAAAATAACTTAGATATAGAACTTAACATAAACAACTAAGGTCGAAATAATAGATTTTAGAAGGTGATCGTGTATGGTTTTCTTTATTCAGATTTCCAATATAATTAAATTAAAACGCACCTACTTGTGTTAGTTTGGTCATTGCCTGAAGTATGATATATAAACGGATACATTTAGAATCACGACAATTATTTCCTTTTATCATTTAAACACTGAACATGATAATATATATTTTTGTTTGGATTTTAGGTTACGTTCAGAGTAAAAAATGTTACAATGATTTAAGGTAATCTTCATATTGTATTTTTTTTTAAAAGCAAATTAAGTAGATGTTTTATGAATACCAATGCATGATCTGTTTTCGTCGTTGTTATGTAATGTAAAATCATATGTCGAAACAATGAAAATAAGTCATTTGAGTTGATAAAGTTGAAATCAAATTGTTGTATGTATGTCAACATGTCAAAATGACAACAACATTAAACAATAGTTTTACTTAAAAAGCGGTAGGCTATACATAAAGTAAATAATTGTATTTGGAAAAAAAGCCGCCTGACATTAATTGGCAGCCATTGTAACAACCAAGCATGATGACACAGGGCATTGACAAGATTTGGTTATTTGTATTTAGACCCCTCTAACAAGAAATTTGTTTTACATGCACACGTATAAAAATTGCGGGTTTTATTTAACGCAATCAAAGGTTTGAACGTTGTTTTCAATTTAGACTTATAATGAATATTTTTTAAAATACCAATATGGTGGCATCCCATTCAGCCAGGCATTGCGAATCAAAAGAATATGCTCTACTGAAAATACGCAAAATGCTAGACTTGGACAACTACGTAAACATCTAGTTGTTCGAGGATACAATAACAACATCATTGATAGCGCTTTCGAAAGAGCAAACAAAACTAGTCGCCAAGAACTTCTAGAGTACAAAGGTAAGAATAAAGCAGCTAACAGAACACCCCTTGTACTCACTTACCATCCTGATTTTAAAAAATGTGTCTTCCATTGTTCAGAAGCATTGGAAAATTATAGAAACTGATTCAAATCTTAAAAAAGTACTTTCCTCACCACCAATCATGGCCTTCAGAAGACCTAAAAACATCCGTGACAAATTAGTGACATCTGCATTAGCAAAGCAGCCTACTCCATCTGCCGGTTGCTACAAACAATGTGGTCGAAAGAACTGCTTGTGTTGTAAAGCTGCCAATACAAGCAGTTCTTTCATCAGCTCCGTTACTAAACAAAATTATGCCATCTACTCATATTCCAATTGTAAAACGGAGAACTCAATTTATATATTAACATATGACACATGTGGCATTCAGTATGTGGGAGAAACAATGGACAAATTTAATATTCGGCTCAATAACCATCGTTCATGGTACAAAACCAACAAAAACTGTCCTCTCACAAGACATCTTCGTTCAACGAAACATTCTTTTGATAATGTCACTTTCCAAATCAAAGAAGTCAACACCGAGTGGGACACCACGGCGAGAAGGAGAAGAGAAAATTTTTGGATCCACCAACTCCACACTTTAGAACCTGATGGTCTTAACGAAAAAGATGAGAAAAGATACAGGAAAGATAAAGAATAATTTAGTACACAGCATCGTCCATTTTATCCTGTTATATTTGCCAATGGACGTTGCTAACTTCAACTACCAATTTTGTAAAAATCTTGAATTTCATCCAAATTATGTATTATTTTCAAGGCAGCTAAATTCAAGTGCAACATATACATTGAGCTGCAAAAGTTTCTTATCATCTACATCCGATTTCACCTGGATAGATGCACGCTTGATAAAGCTAGTTAGTCTTGCGAAATATTGCGTTTATTTTCATCATTTTGTAAATATTTTAAACATTCTTATATTTACATACTAAATAGTGTGTTGAAATTACATTGTTAGGCAATCTATAATTTTATTTGTGTAATTGAATTAATCTCTGTACTGATTAATCCACACTCCCATATATTTGTATGTCATGTGCTGCTATTTAAATGCACTTATATATATATATATATATATATATATATATATATATATATATATATATATATATATATATATATATTTGTAGGATCCTTTACAATAGATATTTCAGCTGATCTGTAACAATTCCATCTTCATGCCTTATATATCATGTACTGTATTACGACGCTAGATTAAAACTGACGAGGAAAGGTAACACCCGGCCACCGAAAGCTTTATTATTGTGAAGCCTAGGTGGTCGTGTGGTCGTGTGGTCTAGCGCATCGGATACAGTGCAGGCGATTTGGTGTCACGATATCTCAGTAGCATGAGTTCGAATCTCGGCGAGGGAAGAACAAAAAATTTGCGAAAGCAAATTTACAGATCTAACATTGTTGGGCTGATGTTTAGACGAGTTGTACATATATATATATATATATATATATATATATAAACATGAATTTTGAACTTATGGGATATGGAAAACAACATATACAAAATTCTGAAGATGAATTTTATAGAAATGACCAGATTTGCTTTTGGTATTACATTATAACTCATCCTGATTCGTTTGAAACATTCATGTTCGTGTTGTTTTTGTACAGCAATGGTGCAAGTAGATCATGGTTTTGCTGTAATAATCACGAAAAAAGGAATGGCGAATGTGTAGGTATGTATTATATCAGTTGCTATTTAGAGCGAAAAATAACTTTGATGCGTTTTCTTTTTTTTTTAATAATACATAAAACATGGGAACTAAAAGGACTGATATCAAAAATAGTACACAGA